CAAACTCTAAAATCTATCTGAGGGCTGGAGAGATGGCTCAGTGGTCTAAAGCACCTACTTGGAACAAGCTTGGCAAAGCACAGTGACCTCGGTTCGATCCCCCAGCACCACATGCCAGCCAGCCCCGCCCCCTGGTGGGCTGAGCTGGCCACATACACACACACAATAAATAAAATAAATAAATATTAAAAAAAAATAAATAAAATAAAATCTATCTGAAAGAGCTGGATAGTCCTGTAGCTGAGAATTCTGTTGCTTTTACAGTCCTACTTATCAAAGGCGCTAGAGATTCTTATTAACCAACTAAGTACCTGCAATGTGAAGCTTACAGGATGAAATACTAAACAAAAATGTCAATGTGCTTTCAGTTAAGTAAACCCAAGATTTTTAGTCAATTCAATTCTAATTTATTTTTATTCTTTATTTATTTGTTTTGTGGAACCGGGGATTGAACTCAGGACCTTGTGCTTGCCGGGGAAGTGCTTATTATACTGAGGCATCTCCCCGGCCCCACAATTCAAATTTAAATAGCTGGTCTCCAGATAAGATGGTATCTATTTTTATTTATTTTATTATTATTATTATTTTTTTTTTGCGGAACTAGGGATTGAACTCAGGCCCTTGCGCTTGCCAGGGAAGCACTTATTCCACTGAGCCATCTCCTGAGCCCCTATTTTATTTAATTTTTTGAAACAGGGTCTCACTATGTAGCTTAGGCTGGCCTTGGACTCACTGCGCATCCCATGTTGGCCTGAATCTTGTGGGAATCCTCCTGTGTCAGGCTCCAGAATGCTGGGATCACTGGCAAATGCCATGTTTAATTATCATTTACAAAGGAAATAAGCACAAATAGAAAACTTAGGATTTCATCTTTGCTAATGAACATTTTTCTGGATTACTCATTGATACCTGAATCAAACTCAAACGTCTAGAGATCCATTTAAATCACCAGGGGGCCAGGGAGATAGCTCAGTGGCATAAGCACCTGCCTGGCATATGCAAGGTTCTGAGTTCAATCCCCAGTACCATTAAATACATACATACATACATACATACATACATAAATAATAAATCACCAGGGACCGGGGAGATGGCTCCGTAGAATAAGTGCTTTGCCTGGCAAGTGCATGCGCCTGACTTCAATCCCTGGTTTAAAAAAAAAAAAAAATCAAATCACCAAATGCCAAGATAGACTGCTGTACATTACTGATTTCTACAGTCAGTCATTAAAATATTTCAAATGTTAATTTTATGATGATCAAAACAAAAATTTTCTTCATCTACTAACTTCCTTGCACAGCATTTTACAGTGGAACTCATTCACTAAAGTGAAAAATGTTATATTTAGTTAAGAATATCAGCTAGGTAGGTGGAACATACCTGTAATCCCAGTACTTGGGAAGCTGACGCAGGGGTATAGTCACAAGGCTAATCTAAACTATATAAGTGAGACCCTGTTTCAAAAAATCAATTTAAAATGTATCTGAAACATTATCATTATTTTTTAATTTGTTTTTTTGTGGCCTGCTCAGCCTGCCCTGGGGGTGGAGCTGTTTCAGCATGTGGTGCTGGGGATTGAACTGGGGATCAAACCACGGTCCCTGTGCTTTGCCTAAGCTTGCCCAAGCAGGGGCTTTAGGCTGCTGAGCGATCTTGCCAGCCCTGTATCTGAAACATTCTCATCTTGTATTAAAAAACAAGAATTAAAACTAGTATTATTAAAATAAAAATTTTAAAGGCTGGCAAGATAGCTCAACGGACTGAGTACCTGCTTAGGCAAGCACAGAGACCAGGGTTCAATCCCATGCTGTGCTGGCCCCACCTTCAGGCCCAGTGTAGTGCAGGCCTGTAACCCCAGCTCTAGGGAGGCTGAAGACAAGAGTCTGAGCTGCATAGTGAGACCCTGTACTAAACACATAAAAATAAATAAATAAAACAAAATAAAAATGTTAAAACATACCCACATACTGAGATTACAAAAAAATATGTACTAAAACTGAAATGCTAGCAAAGAATGGTCCTCCTCGAGTTACCATAGCATCTCTTAATAAAGTATCTGCCTTAGGGCTGGCCAAATAGCTCAGAGGATTAAAGTGCCTGCAAGTAGGCACAGGGGCGGGGGTCCTCCCGCCCCTGCCCCAGTATGCACTAAGGTGGCAATTGAGACAGGGTGTGGTGGCACATGCCTGTAATCCCAGCTTTCAGGAGGCTGTAAACAGGCAGATTACTGAGTCTGATCTAGTAGTGAGACCCTGAACAACCTGTAAATCGTTCTCTAAAATACAAAAAAAAAGGGAGCCAGGGAGATGGCACAGTGGAATAAGTGCTTTCCTGGCAAGCACAGGGGTCCTGAGTTCAATCCCCGGTTCCGCAAAAAAAAAAAAAAAAAAAAAAGTATTAGCCTTATCAAGGTTTTTATCTTTGCAATACTGTAGTAGTTCAGGGTGGGCTTGAACTCATTATGTAGCCCAGGCTGACCTCCAACTCACAGCAATCCTCCTGCCTCAGCCTGCGAAGTGCTGAGATTATATGGCTGTACCACCACATCTGGAATTTTTTTTTTTTCTCTGAATACCTTCAGGGCAGGTTTGGCTGGCTGGAGTTGTGGGGATCAAACTACAGCAACCTAAGCCTGACTGCTTGGTCGAAGCAGCCACTTAAAGAACTGAGCTAGAGCCAGGCCCCCTGTACCACCACATTTGACAAAAGGCATTTCCTATCTGTACCACAGTTTTTCAAGATAAGCTTCAATTTTTCATTCTATTCTGTTTCTAACAATGTAAGTTCAAGAAAAGAATTTAAAATTTTATTTAGTAGTACTAGAGGGTGAACATAGGATTTTTTTTATTTTTATTTTATTTTTTTTTGAACACAGGATTTCATATATGCTAAGCAAGCCATCTACCACTGAGCTACATCTCCAGCCATTAAAAAAAAAAAAGCTTTTTTTCATTTATGTATTTGGTATAGGGTCTCACTACGCAGCTTGGACTTGTAGTCCAAGGCATGTGCCACCACACCTGGACTTGGGTCACTAGCTCAGCACACCCCAGGGTGGGGCTGGTGCAGCATGTGGGACCAGGATTGAACCCTGGTCCTTGCACTTGTCAAAGCAGGTGCTTAGTCCACTGAGCCCTTTCAAAAATTTTGAGATACGGTCTTACTAAATTGCCCAGGTGGGCCTTGAACTTGCAATTCTTCTGTCTCGCTCTCCTAGGTAGCTAGAATTGCAGGTATATACCACAATCCCTGGCTAAGTTTGAGAATTTATTAACACCTCATATTGACTCAGCAAAATCAAGTATTAACTGTCTCTATTACTTTGTTTTTGGTATCATATTGGCTTATTTCCTTGCATTGAAGTTGGTTTTTTTTTTTTTTGCGAAACCGGCCCTTGCGCTTGCCAGGGAAGCACTTTTTCCACTGAGCCATCTCCCTGGACCTGAAGCTATTTGTTATAGCAATTTCTAAAGTAGGCAAAGCTACATTTACCTCTAGGGCCATGATAATCTGTAGCCTCTGAAAAGTGGCAAGACGCTCTTTGTGACTCTTCTCTCCACCGAGTCTACGAGCACAGCCCACAAAGCCCCAGCTGCAAGGCCCACGGTTCACAGCTTTATGAATAGCAAGGGTAAGAACAGCCGAAGCGAAGCATCGTCAGAACACACAAGTCTCCATGCGCTCTGAAGTAGGAGGCACATCCTGGAAGCTTTGTTTTTGACAAAAAAAAGGCATGAGTAGTTTCAGTGAGTAGTAAATGAGTCTTTGTACAAACAGTGATTGTATTTGACTATGTTTACCCAACATAATGAAGGCAGCTGAGACAGGTTGTATACAGAAACGTGTTACAGGCTAGTAATTCAAAAAGCTTATTAATACTATAGACAGTGTAAGTTATTTAATGAAGCAAATGGTATTCAATATTGACTTGTTAATGAACTTAGTCTCTTGGGCTTAAACATCCAGAATTTTAAGAACAATGAATGTACAGAAGCTTATCCAAATTCCCATGAAATCAGGCGTCAGTACCATACTATCTGGCTGTTGAGCCCAAAGTGATTCTACTGGGCTGCCAGTAAGTATTAGCTCTTCTCACACAGCACTGACTGCAGATCATAAAACTAAAGGTTATTCACCTGGGGCCTGAAAGTGAGCACTTCAAATGTCATTCTCTGTAGTGACCACATCTACAAACAGCTGACTGGCTTACCAAGTGGAAATGGCATTTGAAGAATGCTCTTCCTTCTGTTCTTTCATATTAGAAGAAATTCTTCTTTTTAGTCGCAAATAAAAAAAGGAAAAGAGGCCCTCCACGGTGTTGGGAAAACGGCGCTCGGGTTTCAGCTGTCTGCCCCTGGGGTCTGCCTGGTACCACCCACCAGAGAGGACGTGCCATGCGGCTTCCCACGATGATGCTGAGCAACCTGACAGGAACCTGGAAACCTGGCAGGCACAAAGGCCATGTGCCAGAGGGCTCAGCCTCTCCGTAGTCCTTCCCTGTGATCTTGATTTAAAAATCAACAATTCCAAGTACAAAGTAAGGTAATAAGCTCAAGTTACATGGAACACAGCAGTTCTGCTCACCAAGATTCAAAACCAGATCAGGTGCAGGGGGAGAGGGGTGGGGTGGTGGCGGGGAATCAAAATAATACAGCACAAAGAGGTGGGAAAGAAGAAGGGGAGGCACTGAGAAAAGCCCTCACAATTGAATAAAACACATTATGGAACAGATACGTTCCTTGAAACTGATGAATATTTGAACTTGGGTCTTTAAGACTAAAAGAAATCAGCTTACCAAACAAAGACAAGTGTTTCGAGTATCACTGAGCCTTGTGTTTGACAATGTGCTCCAGAACTGTGGCGCTAAATAGGCTTTGATGAGAACAAGGTGTGGGATCTTCAGCTAGCATGTAATCAGGACACAGCATATTTAAAAAGCAATAAAAATAAAATTACGAACACAAGAGAAAAGGGCTCATGCTATATATAGCCCATGAATCTCACTGGCTTTATCATGAAAGTTTATTATTTTAATCCTAGTACAATCAGCTACTGGTTACATACAGTAAAAAACAAAACCAGCCACAAAGCAGTGATGAGAGAGTCTGTGACACTGTAGAGAGGAGGAAAGAGTCTCTGTCGGAATCCTCCAGCGAACCCCCACCTGACTTCAGCGGTCAGGCTAGCACTCCCTCCCTCCCAAAGTAGTTAAAAAGAAAAATTAAATGTCTTGCTTGAGTATCGCAAGATCTAATACCTCTTGGGGACACTGGAAAACTTTTAAAAACTAAAGCAGTCGAAACAAAACAAAAGTGAAACGTGAAGGCAAGGTGACACACAAGAAGCTCCACAAGGCCTTGGCTTCTGATCACCTCAGAGCGAACCACCTGGAAAGAAAAGAAATGCTGGTCAACCAGGCAGGTGCGGGCACGAAGCTCAGCAGCCCTCATATCATATGACGCTATTCCTGCCCAAATTTATAGAATCCAAGCTTCAGACATCTTGTATTTTTAAAAATGAACCAGGTTATAGAACCATTACTTTTCTGTACAATAGAGTACTTTTCTTTTACTCTGTTGTAAATGTTGGCAACACATACTGTTTCAAAACTAGAAAACATTTCTAGCAAAGCATGCTGTCTTCTTTATCTTAAAACCTCTGTAGTAACCACATAGTAAGCTACTTACTCTTTCCTTAGAAGAACAATGACTCCATTCAAAAACTAATCTCATATATATTTGGTTCGATTGAGAGCTTTTTCAGCCAAGTGTCCGCTTTCATCTGTGATCTTCTCCCAGTCAGTCTGTCCAACCACAAAACCTATGGCCCTTTTCCTATCTGCGTCCTTCTTTTCTTCTAGGTCTGCCCACCTCACCTAAAGAGAACACAGAATTAGACTAGGTTGTAGGGGGAAAGGAAAAGAAAAGGAAGCTCCTCCTCCATCTCTGGATCATTCAAGGGGCAGAATGACAAATTTGAAACTACAAGCTTAAAAAAAAAGTTAATCTGAGAAAATTAGAGAAAGTCATATTCACTGGAAACATTAATGAAAAAGAAATGCAAAAACATGATGTATACAGGTAAAGAAATGATGTTCAATCTCATTCTTAAAGAAATACTGAGTCCCCCTTCCCCCATCATACTGTCACATTAAAAAAATTGATTGATAGTGTTGCAGTGTAAGAAATGGAAAAATAAGGATCTTCTTACATTGGACAAACTGGTATAGCCTTTCTGGAAAATAATCTTTTTTTTTTTTTTTTTTTTTTTGCCAAACCAGGAATTGAACTCAGGGCCTTGTGCTTGCCAGGCAAGCACTCATTCTATTGAGCCATCTCCCCGGCCCTGGAAAATAATCTTATAGTATCCGCCATTCAGAATGGTAAATTATATTCTGTGACCTTGCAGCCCTGACGCAAAAAAGTCACCCTAGAGATATGTTTGCACAAGAATTCAAAATAAACACACTGCGACTTTCTGCGCAGTGTCTGTACTAACAATAGAATGCGAGGAGCACAGCACAGCACAGGGCTGGCGACTTGTGTGCCCAGCAAGCACACACGTGGAAGTCCTTAGAGAGGCCGGCAGGCCTGTCGGGCTGTGAAGCTCAAGGTGAAGGAGCTGAGGAAGCCTGCGCAGCAGAGCACGCAGCACAGCTCAGGGAGAGCACTTGCCCGAGATGTGCAAGGCCTTGGGTTCAATCCTGAGGACACCCATCTCCACCAGAAAGAAAAAGATATCTAAATCTAAGGCTTTTATTGAATTCAGTATCTATGTGGACAACCCAGCCAACGTCCTGGTTTCACTCTGTTCCCTTTCAGAGTAAAGCTCCCTGAAAACGCTGCCCAGACTTGTGCGTTCCCCGTCGCCCACTCGTGCTTCAGTCGGCTCCGTGTGGGCCTGTCTCGCTGCTTCCGCACACTCCAGCCTCCAGCCACCTCCACACTGCCCACACTAATGGCCTTGCTCGCTCCCAACTTGTGTTTCTGCACCACTTAAACACTGTCTATTTTTTCTTTATGAACACCTCTTTTCTGAACTTCTGTGTTCTAGAGTCCTATATCTTTTTTCTATTTATACTCTTTCCTTTCGCTAAATCATTTCGTCTCATGGTTTAAATAACATTCTTTTGTTTATTATCTTAGTGTGATCTCTCCCATGCATTTTGTATTTGTAAATTCAACAGCCACTGTAACATCTTCTAACTGGTCTTTGAGTAAACTCAAATTTATGACTCCCTTAGATTTTTCTCTTCTGGCAAGTGACACTACAGACACACAGTGTCCTGCTCAGAACCCCAAAGTATCACCTGTTCACTACCCTCGGGCACTGCACATAACGTACACTGTGGAGTCCTACAGACCCTCTGCCACATCTTAGCTCTGTACCTCTTCTGCCCTGACAAAAATGTCACAAATGACTATGTCCAAGTCCTTCAAGGGTGACAGCATACTAGTCATATGAGGTTCTGGGTTCCATTTTTAAAGTTACTTTTATATTTTTAGCTATAGTTTGTGGGCCCGGAGAGATAGCTCAGTAGAATACGAGCTTGCCTGGTAAGCACAAGGACCTGAGTTCAATCCCCGGCTCCACCAAAAAAAAAAAAAAAAAAAAAAAAAAAAAAAAAGTGTGTAACAGGAATGATTTTTTAAAAATAAATAAAACAATAAGGTATAAATTCCTGGGCCAGGGGCCGGGGAGATGGCTCAGTGGAATAAGTGCTTCACTGGCAAGCGCAAGGGCCTGAATTCAATCCCTGGTTCTATAAATCAATCAATCAATCAATCAATCAATCAATCAATCCCTGGGCCAGGCAGATAGCTCAGCAGAAAAAGTGCTTGCCTGGCAAGTGCAACGTCCTGAGTTCAATCCCCGGGACTGCAAAAAACAAAAACAAAAACCCCCCACTCAGTTCCCTAAAAAAGCACTCATACGCTTCTTCACCTATATCTGTCCAAAACCAGATGCCCTACAGGCCTCCGCTGGCTGGTCACCACCCCCAGGCTCTCACTTACCCTCTTCTTTCCGGGCTCAGAAGCACGAGTTTCGTAATCGTCAGGGAGCTGAAGGTAATCCTCCATTCTGCTGGCAATTGCCTCCCAGTCCCGTTTTCTTTTAGCACCAGTCCTCAAGCCATCCAACTTGTCTGAAGGACAAACACAGAGCCGAAGCATTAAGGATGAGTGTAAATCTGCACGCGACACACAAAAAGGGAAAGGACGGCTGGCACCCTTCCGGAGGGCACATCCACATTTCTGAAGGCAGCGTCCTGTAGACCTGAACTGTCTTCAGGACGGAGGGCGTCAAGCTCTGCGCCATTTCCACTGTCTGGTGTTCAGATGGCCACTTGCTTCCCTATGCCATGATGTTGATTTAAGTCACAAATACGGGCAAAGCAACAAAAGCTGTCTGGCTCCTAATTTCCTTGTCTTCCCAATTTCCCCAAATCACCTTTCACATTCTGAAGGAAAATGCCATTTTTTTCCCTAAAGACAACTGCTTCCTTTTTGTCTTCAACACAGTACCACTCACGTGTGATTCTGTGTCAGATGAAAAGGAGGTAGTACCAAGAGCTTAAGGAGCCAAAGTAATGTTTAAGGCGGTTTACGAGGAGCACTTTGCTAGGCTCTGGGCTGCTGTGTGAGTCCTCTCCATGAGGTAGCGCTCGTGCACACGTGACAGCATCAGAGCACCTCTTTCTCTGGATATTACATGAAATACTGGTGACAGTGCTGAGGCCCAGGGCTAATCAGCAAAGTATCCAAATCTAGTATTGCTTTCTGAACCCTGATCATGAGATATGAAGTTAGGTGTCTTAAAGAACACACAATAAAAATGTGTTGTTGTTTTTTATTGGTTAATATTAATTTTGAATACAGGTGGAATATTTTGCACTCTACACATTTTTGGCTGTACAGGAGCACTGAGCTTCTGAGCCATCTGAAGTTACACAAACACTATTCCTACAGCAGAGCAAGAGGGAAGCCTTAACTCAGGAACACAAAATACCACACTTCACTGAACTCCACACTAGGTGAGGAGTGTAAATCACAAGGATCTTTAAGGCACCACATGAAGGGAACTGAGATGAAAGTGCAATGGAACCGGTGGTAAGGAGGTGAGTGTTACACTTCAAGTATCATAAGCTTCACACACAACTAACTATACAAGCTTTAAAAACCTGAAAGATTTTTGCATAACTGGCAAAGCGTTTAGTTCCAAAACATCTCTCTCCCATAAAAACAATGACCATTGAAAACTCAGTAGTAAGGCACATGATGACACTTTACACAACTCAAAATCTCATCATTTTGACAACATTTTCACATGGATGCCTTCCGCAGAAACGGTCTTCTGCCTCCTCTGTAAGTCACACACGACCCAAGGGCCGTGCATGAGCTGCAGCGCACACCATCTGCAAGCAGCCAGGTCCTGCCTGGACAGGAGTGACCCCAGGCACTGAAAGACCAACAGGTCCCGAAGCAATAAAACTGCTTCAGTTCAGCGGTGTACAGTATTACCAGAGAAGTAGGAAGCTTCAGCACTGAGGTAGTAACAGACCTCAATGGATTTCCAAACTTAATACAATCAACTGACATTAACATATTCAAGGGAAAAATTTCACACTTCAATTCCAAGAATAGAACATGGCCAGGCAGCAATGTACACGGGCAGCCTGAAAACTACAAGAATCTTTTTTTCATACTCTGGGTATTTGACAGGACTTACACGCCAGGTGGTCCTATATTTGCAATTTGGAAGTCCAGAAATATATGTATTTCTAGTCTGAGCCCCCTTGTTTGAAATATTTAAAATTTTATTGTGCAAGCATGTTTAAAGTTTCTTTCTTAGGATTGAAGAAAAGCACACAGCTCTTTCACACGGCACACTGGAAACCCAACTACACATATGGATGGCGGAGGGAGAGGCAAGAGGGTTCCGGGGCATCAACTACAGAAGGAAGCCTGGTGTCCAGTGCATTCACACTAATGGTTTCAGAGGTCTGAGTTTCAAAAGATGAAGTTTTAAGAAGAAACTTTAAGTCCAACTTAGTTGGTCACAGAATTTCAATCTTTAAAACAATATATATTGTTATAACACAATTGAAAAAAAAATCTTAAGGTACATCTGTGTATTTCTTAAGTGTCAATACAACTTCTGAAAATCTGTCAAGGGAACACGCTGGGCTGTGCACCTGCACAAGCAACAGTCACGTTCGAACTGAAGAGACCAGATCTTTATGTGCACGAAGCCAGGGCACAGCAAGTACAAACGACACTGAGGTGGGGGAGCGAAAGCACTTTATATGAAGAGGCCAAAGTTGGGATGATAACAGTCTCAAAAACTGTAGTTCTTACAGGTTGAGAAACTCAAATTGTGTAACTTTACTGCTCATGCAGCATCAGACATAATGTGCAATGCCCACCCTTGTCCAGGATCTGATGGACCAGCTGGAAGGAGCCCGCAGGCATGACTAGGATGACATCAGGCCGCCTGCAAAAATTCGGTGACACTGGTGCCAGATATAGCTCAGGCCTGTTCACAATGACTATAAAATATTGCATCCAATTTAACATTCAGACACAGTCTAAACTATATAATGAACACAGATCAAGAATCTGCAATGAGCCCTATCCAACTGCTTAAAAGATGGAGTATTTTCTTACTACCAGATTCATTTGTGAATCAAAACTCCTCAGTTCCAGATTTGGCTCTGCTGAATACTCTGGTAGTGATACTGCCAGAGCTTAATGTTTCCACTCAGCATAATCATGGTATCAAGAGTGACCTAAGAAAGTTGGTAGAGTACTCAGAAAAAGAAACTGCACGTCATGGAAAAACAGATTAAATGTTATAGGGAAAGCATAAGTTAGTTCTCAGATGAAGAATCTCATAAATTAGAGAAAGGAACTTTTTCAGTTGGCTCAGTGGATCAAACTCAGAGTGAGCACTTTCAAGAGACTTCCCCCTCAACTTGTCTTCTGTCACAGCTGCACCAGCTCTCAGGACACTGCGTACTGCGGTGCAGAATTCCAGTTCTGATACAAAACACTGTCGTCATGCTTACTAAAAACAAGCAAAAGCTCAACTGCTGACATATGAGTATTTTCTTGCCTCAGTACTAGATCTTCAGCACTTTTACGTGAAAGATTTATGTTAAAACGCCATCTCTGCAATTTATCATGTAGCACCATCTGTAGAGAGGACAGATTTGTGTACTATGTACTTCCTGGTGGTAGACAAGCCAGACTTTTTTCAGAAATTAATGTCAATATCAACATCCTATTTTCTTGAATAGTTATCAGAACTAAATTCCAGTTTTTTTCCTTGGAATCCAGAAGGGAAGCAGAAAATGGACCAGGCTCCTGAACATATATCACACAGTACCTCTGATGAATATCTGCTTAGTTATAATATTTATCACTTATGCAATTGTCTATTTTCATTTGTTCTCTTTGCCCAAGGGGACAATATTATTTAGAGAATGAGAGGAAAGAAATCAAAGTCTTACAGGTTATTTAAAAAGTACAGAGCTTTAAACAGAATCAATCTAATGTCAAAATAAGAACTAAAGCAGTTTTATTTAAAAAAAGGAATCTGTGGTTATTATTCTACATATTAATCGTATGTATGTATCTATGCATTTTAAGTTTTATTTTAGTATTTAGTATTTGTAGACAGGGTCTTGTTTTGTAGTCCAGGCTAGCCTGGAGCTCACTATGTAGCTCAGGTGGGCCTCAAACTCATGGTGATCCTCCTGCCTCAGCTTGCTGAGTGCTGGGATTACAGGTGTGCGCCACCACATCCGGCATTTAATTGTACTTAAAGACACAAGTGCTTACAGTCTAGGGAAGAAGATAGTTGGTTATTTAGATTTCTCACAGAGGGACAATAGTAAAATAATATGACAATAAGTCATCTATATGCATACACACATTTTTTGAGACATAGTCTGACTTCATAATCAATGCCGAACCTAAACTTGTTGCTCAGGCTGGTCTCAAACTTGTGATCCTCCTGCTCACCCTCCCAGGTGCTGGGATCGCAGGAACGCAATGCCATGTCTGGCTAACCACATGTAATTTTCACTTGACATATACTCAACAAGCTGCTTAAGACTTCGGGCAAGATGGAAGGCATAAACCAAGCAATCTGTGTGTAAACTGCACTCTCCTGGGATGTCAGCAACACAAGGTGTCCTACGTAATGCAGATCTGAGCGATGTGCTCTGCTCTACGACCTGGACATGTTCAGATGGTGACTTCCGCTGTGGAGCACCAGCACGATCCCAGGACAAGAAGCACAGACACCGACAGTTTCGAACACCGGAAGGCCTTTGTACATCAAAAAGCCTCTATCACATTTTGTTAGATTTTTATTGATATACCTTAAGATGCTAAGTTGTTCACGTGAAGTAAAAAACTTTTAAAACACTTCGCAGTATCACCATGAAATACTGTAGGAATCTATTCAATACATACGTTTTTACTTGATGAATACCTTCATATTAAACAACTCCAAAATTTAGTTTAGACATCATTTTAAGTTTTGTTGTTTTTTTTTTTTTTTTGTACCAGGGATCCAACCCAGGACCTTGCGTTTGCCAGGCAGGCACTCACATTGCTGAGCTATCTCCCCAGCTAATTGGTTAACCTTGTAAAGTGGCACTAAAGACAACTTGAGGGAAATTTCAAGAAATTTCATAAAACAGCCTCTTCAAAAATCTAAATTATGTACCTACTTCATTCTGCCCAAATCTTTGGTTTTTTTTGGTGGAACCGGGGAACGGGGAGTGTCCAAATCTTTATAAGAAAACTATCTTTTAATTATTTTAAAATATTTTTATGTAAAAATATTTTTAAAGGGGCACCGAAACACAGGCATGTGGTACTGAGCACTGGATTGGCCACTGACGGAGGTAAGGTTGACTGCGATTTTTTTTTGTGGTACCAGGGATCAAACTCAGGACCTTGTGCATGCCAGTCAGGTGCTTATGCCACCAAGCGTCTCCTCGGCCCCCAAAATATCTTTATATGTATAACCATTATCCAAAATATTCACAAACAGATCAACGTTGGACTGCAGTTAAATATTCTTTAAGAAAATAAATGGTACCAGCATCAGTATTTCTGATTACTATAAAAAAAGAATGTCAGACATGACAGTACTTTGCTTACCAAATATGTTTATTTATTCTAAGTGGTAATGAAATCCGTGTTTTAAAAACACTCTGCTTTTTACTCGGTCACAAGAGCTAACTAAACCAAGAGCTAATGAAACAAGACTGGTGGATATCAGGTAGGCCAAAACTCCTGGCGTAGGCAATACTTGTGAGAAATTTGTTCTTCTTACAGCAGAAAGCGCTATGAGCATTACCATCAGGTATCACATAGAAAAACAGGAAAAAGGCAATACCCACCTAGCTTTGCCTCAGATGTGTCCATCTCCCATTTGCTTTTCGGAATGTAACCCTAAATCGTACACAGAGAGAAGCTCGAAGGGTTAGAAAGAGACACATACATGCATAACACTTTTGAACTGGAAAAGCATTAAAACTGGGAATGGATTCAGTTTCCACCCACTAATTATAAGTATACCCTCAGGGAAAACACAATCTTATTGTTGAAGAGGCTAAATGACCAAATTCACCAAGCTTGACTGCACAGATTTCAGAGTTGTCACTTCAGGATAGTATCAAGAAGGCGCTGTGAGGTCGCTACAGTTCGGGACTCACAATTGTATTCTGAACAGCGGCTGACTAGCAATTATGATAAGAATGTACGATAGTTACTGTGCCAATGCTAATAGCATTCAGAGATCTGAGAATTCACAGCACTAGCTGGTAATTTTCTAAATACAATTGCTATTCATAAGTGGCTGTAGTCACGAGGTCCAAAATGTGTTCTTCAAGACAGCTACTTGAGAGTCAGTGCCATTTTAAGTAATCAAAAGAAAAAAGAACTAGTATCACTGAACCCAACTGCCCAATTATAAAATTCAAGTTCACTAAAAAATGACTCAATCCATGTACCAGTTAGATCTTACAAAGGCTAATTTTATTGAATCAATTTCAAAGCATTTCTCTTTTATCAGTATATGAGATTATTATTCTTGAGGTCTTTTAAAATCATGTTTTAGTCTTTTAAAATATGAAAAACCAGAAATCTCCACAGGCAATTTAACATCTTAGACTTCATAAGATAAATGAGTAGTTTATTTCAAACAAATTCCCAAAACATCTTCCAGTTTTCCAATGTGCCTACTACACTATGTAGTAATCCCAGTTACTCATTGAGCAAGTCTATGCTTTTCCCATGAGATTTATCATGATTCCCACTTTCCTTTATTTGGATTTCACTTTTTTAGACCCTACCACAGAGAACATTTAATACTAGGACCCAGTAAACAGAACAGATACCACTTCTTTTTAGCATCTTCTTTTGCGAATCACTGTATCTACACTATTGAAAATGTCTGAGTTGACAGGACAGACTGACACACAGCTGAGTCAGAAAGCACGTTAGGATCCCGTTACAAAAGCGTCTATGGAAGAGTTTACTTGAGTAGCATCATTCATACCCCAGGAAACCTATGGGCTTTATACATTCCTAGTTTTTTGAGTCAGAATCAATTCAATTTCACCTTAGTAAATCAGGTTATAAAATTATATCATTCTCCCATATACAAACCAATACAAAGCTATGCTGAAGTGATGGTACTAAAAGGACTGAAGAAACTTGTACAAGTGACATCTCAAAAATCACCTGAAAACATTAAACATTGCTGGAATATTTATAAACTCTAAATTATACCCACTAGGTTCACTGAACAGTGAAGAAGACAAACTGTCACACCAATGATCCCATAAAAAGGATCGTCTTAACCAAGAAATGTTTGGATTTCTCCCAGTTGGATTAATCAGCAAAGAATAGAAAATACAGTTTAGTGGAAATTCTGTTAAAAGGGTCTCAGTGACATGGTACTTGCTCTTAACTCATTGGTTAATATTTGCCAAGAAACTTTTACTCTTGGGATGGACACCAATAGTAGAAGACCTGGATTCTGTTCTTTGAATGAATTAAGAGAAGTTTTAGAATATAAAGATAAGCAAACAAGTGTATTCATTTCCCCCTGCTGAAACCATCTGTTTTTTCCTTAAAACTTTATCATCTTCCCACTGCTTAAAGTGGTAATACACCTGGAAATAAAAGATAGTTCAGCAGGGTAAAATTCTAAGGCTTCCTTGTTGTATCACTGATGTAAAAATACAGCATTAGTATATTTCACTTTAAAAATTAATAGTACATTCAATGAACAACTTCAAGTTTTGACCTATACCTAAGCAAGTGAGATGCTGTGAGCTGTATCCTAAAATAAAATCTCCACAAAGACTGAGTTTTAGAAAGCTAGTACATAACACTAGATTCTCAGGGTTACTTTCTAGCATACACGCTACAAGTAGCTAGAGAGGCTAAGTATATTACAGAACAGCGTGGAGCAGTAAGTGAATTACCTACTACATTTTAGATCACTCATGTCAAAATGCAAACAAGAAAAATAAACTTGGTTTAAAGGATAAAAAAGAAACATATTGAGACTCAAATGCCATGAATTTTAAAGCTTACTTTTTAATCCACATTTAAAATCTAGGAATGCAAGAGCTGACACCATCTCTATATAAACAACTTCTATCCAGAGTTGTCTGTATCACACATGGGACCATTCCTTGAGGACTTTGTATACTCTGGGGTAGGAATCAAGGTTCTCGATTTGTACATTTCCAGAGGAGTATGGGAAGAGACATTAGCAGGAACTGAATGAAGTACTAAATAAACCAAATATTCTGGATTTTAAAAGTAACACTATCCCAAACATTGCTAATTTCTGTACCTCATCAGTCAACACTGACGTCATGATAACTTTAGGTCGCATTTTCTTGACGGATAGGAAGAGGCAAACACTTCTACAGAGATGTGACCGGAGCATTTACAGGGGTACACAGGAATTTGGAACTCACAAAGGCTTTGACTCAGCCTAAGCAAAGCCCACTGCCTATACAGTCAAGTAATTTTCCCCATCACTGAACAGCATAAAATGTAGAACAAATCCAGCAGCCAGTGGCAAACAGTCTGTCTCCTCACTAAGTTTTTCTGCCTCAATTGGCAGAGACTCCAAATTTGGAGATCTGTAGCAAAGAAGAGACAATTATGCGCATGCTGGGTGGGTGGTGCCACATCCCTGCTGGAATGTAAGAATGTTTTTTCATATGTAACTGAGTCTCTTTAAAAATACACTTTAAAACTAGCCACAAGTGTAAGTTTCTTAGCACTCTGTTCAACATTATAGGGCTCTTTTTTGGTCTAAAGAAAAATAAAAAGCATCCAAAAGCTCCTCAAAAATGCTTTCACCATTATAATGTGCATATTAACAATAGTAATCTGACCACAGATCTCACTCTAAACCCTAGTTAAGAATTCTGATGAAAAGACACTTTGTTCAAAGTGGTTGGTCTGTCTCCTACCAGTTCGCTTTCCTCTTCCTCTGCATCTTTCTTTTCTTCCTTCTGTTCTTCAATATTTGCATCAAAGTCTTCCATCTCTACCTACAACATGCCAATAATCACTTTTTTTTAAGAGAGTTAACATTTAGGAAAGTGCTGAATCAGAATCACTAAGATCTGGAATGATTTCCCCGCCCCGAGCCAGGAAGCAGACTCATGTATGGTATAATGGTTACTTATTTTTACAGATTACACAATTTTTCACATTCTAATTTTGAAACAGAACTGATTAAAAAAACCCTATGATATTGTGCTCTGTAGTTTTACCAGGATATCTATCTTTTTAACTCCCTATGTAATGCTTTATTCTAAGTAGATCATTATCTGTTTTCAATATTTTTATGGATTCCTAAGATTTCTCCTTAAAACTTTTTTTTTTTTTTTTTTTGTATTTTTTAGGGAAGGGTCTAAAGGGTCTAGATCAGACTTGACTCATAGTGATCTGCCTGTTGACAGCCTCCCAAGAGCTGGGATTACAGGCACACGCCACCACACCCAGCCTCAGCTACAGTCTCAGTGAGCCCTGGAGGCGGGGCCAGCATGGCAGGCCCAGGGATTGAAGCCCTGGCCCCCATGCCTTGCCTCTTTAATCCACTGAGCTATATGGTCAGCCCTCTCTTTAATGGTCAGCCCTCTCTTTAAAACCTTTATTTATTTATTTTTCTCATAATTTTATTGATAAACAAATAGCAATGAGACAGTTTTAAATCAAATTGGTAGGACAGTTTCAATAATCAACACATTGCATACATTCTTCCTAGTGGTTAATTGCTGTACAAGATGCGGACATGATATCCTATTTAGAAACACCATTAGAACAAAACACTCTATTCATTAAGAGAATGTAACTATATATCTATCCTAACCACTTTGAATACACAGATACAAAATGGACATTCATCTGTATACCTTTTTTTTGGTTAAGTTCCGTTATTTGAATATTACAGGTGTGTAAACTCAGCAAAATATTCTAAAAGAGTCCAGTAGTTCATAATAGTATTGGGTCTTCCGCTTGACTGGCAGTGTCAGAAATTGTTGACCTGAGTCCCCTTATAGCTCAACATAACAGCATGGCTTTACTTCTTATGTTTCGTTTTTATACTTTTCTGCTGGATGGTTAAGACTTTAAAATCTTTAACAAATATTTTTCTAATCATGTAGAACACACAACTGACTCAAACATTAAACTATGAGAAAAGGTCTAATGACAATGACAGTAGCTTGACCCACAATGGTAACAATACAAATAAAAGGATGTGGATTAGAGGAGCATTTACAGTGTCAAACAGGTAAAACGTGTAACTCACCACATAGTGGAAGGACAGGGTTAAGTGTCTGTAAAAGGGGGATGTTGGTAGGGCCTGAGATAACTGTCAGATTACTGGTTTACTAATCACATCTTTGTGGTTCTAATAAAAAAAAAAAAAAAAAAAACTAACACCAGCAAGATAGCTCAGCAGACTAAGCCTGCTTAAGGACATGCAGGGACAGGGGTTTGATCCCTGTTACCACATGTGGCATCCTTGCCCCCAGGCTCACCGAGCCAGCTGATGAAACCTAGTGTGGTGGTGCACATCTGTAATCCCAGCACTGAGGAGGTTGAAAACAGGAGGATCACTACAAGTCTGAGCTATTTAGTGAGATCCTGTACCAAATACATAAAATTAAAAAATACTAGAAGAGAAACAACACATTTGGATGCATTACATTTTGGTAGGTTGAGCTTCAAGTATACTAAAATAATAAACTTTTTTTGGTTTGAGAATTTAGAAAATGACAGTACAAAGGATTATAAAAATCATCTAGAATTCTTCCACTGAAAATGTTACTCTTTAAGAGTGATATTGAAAAAAAAAAGTTTGGGACCGGAGAGATGGCTCAGTAGGATAAGTGCTTGACTGGCAAACGCAGGGATCTGAGTTCAATCCCCAGTTCCGCCAAAAAAAAAAGTGATATTGCTGCTAGGTCAGTGGAATAAGTGCTTGCTTGGCAAACACAAGGACCTGAGTTTGATCCCTGGTGCCAAGAAAAAGAAAAACAGAGGGACAGAGAGAGAGAGAGAGAGAGAGAGAGAGAGAGAGAGAGAGACAGACAGACAGACAGACAGACACGGACAGAGAGAGTGAGCGCGCGCCTACATTGGTCTCTGTAACCCAAGGGACAGAGCAGTAGCCCAATGAAGAAGCCCAACACAGAGCTTGAAAGGGGCTCTTTGAAGACCCAGTAAGCAGGAAAAGCCAGTGCAGATGGCTGCAAAGTAGGGGACTCACAAGAGCCAAGAGAAAATGTTCTCTTTCTCCTCAAGGAGGTGTGCAGGGGTGCCTGCGGCACATGTGGTGGCAAAATTAAGCAGTAAGAGAAGTGAGAATTTTCTCCTGTCCTGGAAATCACTGGTCAGTCTCCAGAGAAAAGAAGAGGCAGAAGCCACAGGAAATGGGTTGAGGGGTGGCCTGTGGGTTAACTATGTACTAAAACACAGTGACAATACTGAGTACAGGTAACTCTCAGGAGAAGGTCAAATAAAAGGAAAGTACACAAGTGATTACAACTGAAAATCGCTTTTTTATAATAGATTTTCTTCTACCAAATTAGTAACTGACACTAGCAAGTCAGTGAAAATGTGTCAGGAAACAGGACATTAACAGTTCCAATGCAGGGCTGCAGAGACCGCGCGGCGGCATACGCGTCTGCCTGCAGGCTCAAGGTCCTGAGTTCAATCCCAGCACCAAAACCAAACCAAACCAAAACAACCCCGTTCCAATGCATGGATCTCCCTGCAGATTACTTGATAGTCACACCTCAGCCAAGTGACCAATGTCTACGTGATAATAAGGAGATGAAACTGGTGCTGCGCAGATCTTCATGGCGGCGCCGAGGATGCACCGTCACCGACGCCATTCCTGCCAACAACTTAACCTGAACCTGAGCCTGAGGAAACACACAATCCTGAGAAGCCATTTGAAAAAGCAACTGGCCTGATTTTCAGAATTGCTTTGTTTCTCATGACAATGTTTAGCTGAGAAATTGCTTTTTATATTAATGAGCTGAATCCTGAATTTTAAAAGTTGCTATAAAGCACATCACAGGGTCAGCTGGTGAAATCTGAATATAAACTGTTTTAAAAAATCAAGAATTCAGGGGCTGGAGAGATGGCTCAGTGGTCTAAAGCACCTACTTGGAACAAGCTTGACAAAGCATAGGGACCGCAGTTCAATCCCCCAGCACCACATGCCAGCCAGCCCCGCCCCCTGGTGGACTGAGCTGGCCACACACACACACACACACACACACACACACACACACTAAATAAATGTTAAAATAAATAAATAAATAATTTTAAAAAATCAAGAATTCAG